TGTGAGTAAACATATATACACTCCTGTTTATCCTCACTTAATTAGGTCACCTGGTCACTCGGTCATTCTTTGTTCCACTAATGGAGAAACCCATTCCTGCAGCATCAATGAACAAAGGCAGAAGAGGAGAGAGCCGGGGAAAACAGCTGCTCTCCCTTCCCACTCTGTCCCCTCTCTCACCTAAGGGGGGGTGGGGCCCCCCTTCCCACCTCACCCCTCCCCCGTTCCCCTTCCTCCTTCACCCTCTTCCCAGTGTCAGCACAGCTGAGTTTCTAATGACACTGACCAGGTTTTATCTCCAGCAGCCTCAGCTTCGGATCTTCAGGCGGGTGCAGTCGCCTCTTCTTGCGCCAGCAGCGGGCAGGGTATGTGTACAGCTGCCCTGGAGCTAGGCCTGGGAACGAAACAGGACAAAGTGTGAAATGAAATAATTGAATGCCAGAACTAGAAGGAATCTTAGGAATCATAGAATCACCTGCCCTCCCCTCCCTTCCCCTCATTTTACAGATGAGAAAAGTGAAGTTCACAAGAGGGAAGATACTTACCCAGGGAAACATAATTGTTTTTGGCAGAGATAAGACTTGAATTGGTTTCTTCTGTTCTCTAATACTACTCTACCACACTGGACTTATGCCGTATAGATCCAGCATATGTAATAGATATTCGAGCTGAAAGGGACCTCATAGGGCCCAAACCCCTCTTCTCCCAGGTGAAGAAACAGTTCTAGGCTAAGTGACTTGCCCAGGGTCACCCACCAAGATAGTAGTGTCCTCTGACTCCCTATCCAGGGCTCTTTCTGTTTCTTGGACTTCCTAACTGCTCTCCTTGCCCTGGAGAGAACGTCAGTCTAGGGAGGACCTTAATGTATAGAAAATATCAGTGTTCCAAAAGCAAAGGCCTTCCTAACTACATTCAGGTTCCCTAAGAGTAGTTTCTTTTATATGCTAATGATTGTGACTGTGTGAATGAGTAACCCAACAAATACCCTGGAGTGGAAAGACCTAGATGGGGGCTCTTTATTTTTCAGGGGATATCTACTTGTGTTATTAACCTATATACTTTCCATTGTTTTTCATGTTTATAGTCACCTCCATAGCTGTTCTGGTGTCTGGCCAGATGTGTACGCCACTCCCAGGGCAACAGAATAACCAAACCTTTCATCCCCAGCTGTGCTAGAGTAGCAGTAACACTCTATGTGCGGGGAGACTATCTCTGACACTTAGTAGCTCTTTGGGCTACTATGTTGGGGTTTTATGGAGGGGGAAAGAAAGAAACAAGCATTTATTAAGGACCTACTACGTGCCAAGCACTATGCTAAAGTGCTTTACAAATATTATCTCATTCAATTCTTGAAACCACCCTGGGAGGTAGAGGCTATTATTATCTCTGTTTTACTGTTGAGGAAACTGAGGGGGACAGAGGTGAAGTAACTTGCCCAGGTTCACACAGCTAACAAGGACCTGAGGTAAGATTTGAACTCAGGTCTTCCTGACTCCAGGCCCAGCACAGTATCCACTGCACCACCTAGTTAGACTGGATCTGTGATTTCATTGGTATAGGGCATCAAACTCAAAAAGAAACTCGGGACCACTAAACCTTACATAAGAATACCTGCCTATTGGACTTAGAAAACCATACATTGACATTATCTATATTATGGTATATTTTTATTTATTTTGTTAAATATTACCCAATTACATTTTAATCTGGTTCTGCTTACCCAAGGGGAGTGTTACCTGAGCTTGACATCTCTGGTATCTCTACCAATGAAGATGGTACCTGCTTTGAAATCTAGGATAAAAGAATTTAAAGCTAGCAGGAATCTTATATGCCTGTAAGTAACCCTACAGTCTTAGAATGTTATAGCATGGTACATGGAGAGGTGAAATAAATTTTCCAGGGTTGCATATCCACCATGTATCAGAAGAAGGACTTGAATCCAGACCATCCTGACTCCAAGGCTTGTCTCTCTAACCAGTCTGCCCAGATGGCGATCACAACTGCAAAATGAAGATTATAGCCCTTCTACTCCTTACCACAGGCAGGTGACGCAGCGGAGAAAGTGCTGGGCCTGGAGTCAGAAAGACTCATCTCCCTGAGTTCCAATCTGGCTTCAGACACTTACTAGCTGTGTGACCCTGAGCAAGTCACTTAACCCTATTGGCCTCAGTTTCAACTCCTGTGAAATGAGCTGGAGATGGAAATGGCAAATCACTCTAGTATCTCTGCCAAGAAAACTTCAAATGAAGTCACAAAGAGTCAGACACAACTGAAATGACTGAATGACAACAAAACTCCCTGCCACTCAGAGACATGGTAAAAAGAGCACTTTGTAAACAGTGAGATGCCTCAGAAGGAGAGCTGTTATCAATGCCATCGATCAAGGAGTGCCTGCACCCTCCCAGTCTAAAAAGTTGTGATCAGTTTGAAAGTCAAATATTTCAGAAGATTTTGTTATTTCTCTTTTGTTCCGTATGATTTAATGGCCAAAAAAAAAAAAAACCTTTTGGGGTCATCACAAGCTTGAGTGGAAGTTTGTCATTTCAGAGACTTCAAGATATTTTATTCTGTCACAATATGCCATGTCCTTTGGCACTATAGGTCCTGAGGACTGTTCCTATTTTCTAGTCAGGGAACATTGAGGCCCAAGGACAAGACTGGTTGGTTCACATGGAGCTGAAGAGAGTCAGTAAAAACAGAGTTTGACACACTACATTCCCCAAGATCCAATTGCGGTCAAGGTTCTTAAATGTTCTTCACGCTCACAGACACATTTTTAAGATGTGACCGGGGGCAGGCTCAGGCAGAGGTTGTGACCAAGATCCCTCCTTGGAGTGGGCAGATATATGCATTTGTCCACAGCAGTGTTGGTTCTAAGGCTGAGAGGCCAGAAACAAGCCAGGGAGATGCATACTAGCAAACAAGCAGGAGCACAGGCCAGCAGATACATCCAAGGTCTGGAAACATAGGTAAGCAATGGAGGAGCATAAGGATCCAAAGGGGAAATGTAAACCAGGTAAATGTGGTGGAAGTGCAGGCAAGAGGTGAAGGAATTGGGTATCTCAATGGTTTTGAGTTCAGAGGAAAAAGTTCATCAAAAAAATTTCACAATTTGACTTATGCAACTCAATAACCATGTCAACACTCTTTTGGGACCCTTACATTTGGAGCTAACCCCAACATCCCAACACCAGCCTTCACTGCTGCCATTGCTCTTATTTATACATGAGTTTCAGCTGTGGAAATTACTATTACTGGTGTTTACTGCATTGTAAAGCATTAACTGCATCATAAAGAGTTGGCCTGTCTTGCAGGCAGACTAGGTTTCATCCTGCCCAAGGTTTTGCACATGGGATATCCCATGATTCTGAAAGCTCTGATGAGGCTGGGTTGGTTCTGGGCTCCTTCTAGATTCCCCTGATTGCTCCTTCATAGGGTTTGGGAATGGTTCAGTCCAGGCCCAGCAAGCTGAGCCTCAGACTTACGAGATGATTCAAAACTGACCTAGAAAATACACTTCTTAGGACTGAGGCTAGCATGTAGCCCAAAGAGGTCAAAGACAAAGGAAAAGGTCCATTTATATAGCACTTTGGAGTTTGAAGAACTTATTATTTCATCTGATTCTCACAACAACCCTATGAAGTAGGTGCTATTTTTTATTATCTCCATTTTGTAGGTAAGGAAACTGAGGTATACAGAGGGGTTAAGTGACTTCCCTAGGGTCACACAGCTAGTGTCTGAGACCAGATTCCATCTGAGGTTTTCCTGACTCTAAGTCCAATGAACTATCCACTAATTTTTTGTTGTTCCATCATTTCAATTGTGTCTGACTCTTCGTGACCCCATTTGGAATTTTCTTGGCAAAGATACTGGAATGTTCTCCATTTCCTTTTCCAGCTCATTCTACAGATGAGGAAACTGAGGCAAAGAGGGTTAACACAGCTAGTAAGTGTCTGAGGCCAGATTTGAACTCAAAGATGAGTCTTTCTGACTCCAGGCCTAGTATTCTATCCACTGAGCCACCTAGCTGCCCCATATCCAGTAATTAGCTGCCATTTATTCAAGTGATAAATAAAAAGTATTTATGGCAACACTTTTTGTAGTAGTAAAGACATGAAAGGAAAGGAGATACCACCAGCTGGGAGAATGATTGACAAATGTGATATATGAAGGCAAAAATTATGGAGACAGAGTCAGGAGCAGAGGGCCATTTGCCCCAGAGGGTAGAGAGCAAGAATGCAGAACAGCTGCCTCTCTACCTCTCACCGAGTGGCTTTGAACCTGGTGCTAAAAAATTCGAACATCTCCTGCCTGTGAATCAGAGTTTTAAACATAGCCAAGGATGACCTATTGAAAGATCGCCCTTGACATGAGCTCTTGTGCTTGTAAGAGAAGCAGCATGATTATAGTAGATAAGATACCTGCTTCAAAACTCTGAAGACCTGAGTTCAAGTGCTATCTCTGACGCATTTTGGAACCCTGGCCACTTTGCTTAACTAACTTCTCAGTGCTCTAGCCAGAGGTGCCAAACTCATGGCCTCTGGGCCTCATGCAGCCCACAAAACTCCTGAGTGGGAACCAGATTGCAATGTAATTGGGGAATGTTAAACAAAATAAATAAAAATAAAACATAGCTATTGTGAATTTATGGTTTTCTAAGTCAATATGCAGGTAGGTGGAGCAGTGGATAGAGTGCTGGGCCTGGAGTCAGGAAGACCTAAGTTCAAATCTGGCTTCATATACTTCCCAGCTGTGTGACTCTGGGCAAGTCACTTAATCCTGTTTGCCTGAGTTCCCTCATCTGTAAAATGAGTTGGAGAAGGAAATGGCAAACCACTCCAGTATCTTTCCCAAGAAAACCCCAAATGGGGTCACAAAGGGTTGGACATAACTGAAATGACTGAACAACAACAAAAAGTCAATGTGCAGCCTACCAGGATTCCCTTTCTATTTGAGTTTGGTACCACTGTTCTAGGCCAGTAGTGTTAAATTCAAATAGAAACAGGATCTTGCTGCTGGCATATTAACTTATTTTAAAAATGTGATGTTATCTATGTTCTATTGTGTTTTTGTTTATTTTGTTAAATATTTCCCAATTACATTTTACTCTGGTTCAGCTGAACTCATGTGCAGCCCAAGCAGAGTGTTTGCTCTAGGCAACCAAGACTATAAATTACAGAGAAAGTGCCTACCTGCATCAGTAGAAAGAGTTTCCTCACATGAGAGCTCTCCTAGACCAGTGAAACTACAGGTCCCTGCTCCTATCCTTAAGAATGGAACATCCTATCTCAAGAAATCCTAAGAAATGATGGAGGTAAAGCACTCAGGGAAACTTAGGAGGACTAAAGTGAATTGATGCACAGCTATTTAAGCAAAACCCCGAGAGAATAATTC